AACTTATAGGTATAGCTAGTACATACAATGCCTAAAGCCACTATTACGCAAAGCGTTTCGGGCATGATAAACTTAAATGACAAGCTTAATACTAATTGAGCATAATGAGTAGAATGAAAACAAGAAATGAAAACATAGATGAAAAAGCAGCACAAATACAATTATGTCGACAAACAGCGCTCTTTAAAGAAAAAAACAGACATTAGTTGACAATAGAAGGGTAAGGTAGGTTACAGGGAATTTATTAGGTATAGCTTCGCTTTTAACTTAAACTGGTTGAGAGAGGTACAGTCTTTAACATGGTTGGGAAGGTCATTCCACATTCTGGGCCCCTTGATTTGTAGAGCATTTCTAGTTTGATTAAGTCGTACTCTAGGAATATCAAAACTGTATTTATTTCTGGTGTGATGCTCATGGGTTCTGATACAACCTTCTATGAAGCTTTTGAGATCAGGATTGGCATTATAGTTTAGCGTTTTATATATGTATAATACACATGAGAGAATGTGCAGTGACTTAATGTCTAACATATTCAGAGATTTAAGTAGGGGTACCGAGTGGTGTCTGGGGCCAGAATTGGATATTGTCCTAATAGCAGCTTTGTGTTGAGTAATTAGAGGACGTAAGTGATTTTGGGTAGTAGAGCCCCAAGCACAAATACCATAGTTGAGATATGGATAGATAAGGGAGTAATAGAGAGTCACCAGGGCAGGGCGTGGTACATAATATCTGATCTTAGAAAGAATGCCCACAGTTTTTGAAACTTTTTTAGATATGTTTAGAATGTGTCCCTGGAAATTAAGCTTGTGGTCAATGAGAATGCCAAGGAATTTGCCATCTAATTTGTTACAAATTTGGGTATTGTTTATTTTGAGATTTATTTGATTAGAGGATTTATTGCCAAACAGAATATAAAAGGTTTTGTCAATGTTAAGGGTGAGTTTGTTGGCAGTTAGCCACAGATGGACTTTATTTAGCTCAGTATTTACTGTGGCATTTAGAGCAAGGGGATCAGGACTGGAGTAAATGAAGGTTGTGTCGTCAGCAAATAGAATTGGTTTGAGGTGTTGGGAGGCATTTGGAAGGTCATTAATGTAGATGAGAAAGAGGAGAGGGCCAAGTATGCTGCCCTGGGGAACACCAATGTTGATGGGTAGGGTGGGAGAAATTGTATTATTCACAGAAACATATTGGAGCCTGTCAGTAAGGTAGGATTTGAGGTATTGTAGGGAGTGTCCTCTGACTCCATAATGATGTAATTTAAGAAGAAGGTTTTGGTGGTTGACAGTGTCAAAAGCTTTACGCAGGTCCACAAACAACCCAACAGAGAACTCATTTTTATCAAGAGCTGTATGAATCGAGTTAAGCATACTAATAAGTGCATCGTTAGTGCTTTTTTTGGGTCTGAAGCCATATTGGCAAGGGCTAAGTATATTGAGTTTGGCTAGATATGAGTAAAGCTGCTTATAGATTAGTTTTTCAAAAATTTTTGACAAGTTTGGCAGGATAGATATAGGTCTGTAGTTGTTAACATCTGTGAGATTACCACATTTGTGGACAGGCGTTACTCTCGCTTTTTTTAGAATATCTGGGAAGGTTTGGAGTTCAAGTGACTTGTTGAAGAGCAAAGCAATAGCAGGGGCTAAAGATATGGAGGCTTTTTTGTAAATTAAAGTTGGTATCTCCTCAAGGGCACCAGACTTGGTTTTAAGGGAAAGGATTATCTCATTGACGTCAGTGGAATTAATAGGCTTTAGGTACAGAGACTGTGGATAGTTACCTGAAAGATAGTCATTAATGTCTGTACTGGAAGATGGAATATCATTTGCAAGGGATGAACCAATGGAAGAGAAGAACCTATTGAACTCAGTAGCAGAATCAGAGGCTGAAAGCTGACCATCGTTATTAGACAGGAGAATCGGTTTGTTATTTAAAGACTTCTTTGATCCCAATATTTGAGAAATTGTTCTCCAAGTTTGTTTAATGTTGCTCTTTATTTGGGTAAATTTATCTTCATAGTATTTAGTTTTGACTCGTCTAATTATCTTAGACAGCAATAATGAGTAATTCTCTCTTCCGGAGAGTTACTACCAAAGCGGCTCCTATCGACTGCTTCTGTTTCCTCTCCACCACATTCCACCAGGCCTCATCCTGTGTTCCTCCAGGCGGGGAACCGCCATCACGAATTACAAGGACACCATCATCCATCACAGATACGCCCCCTCCATCAGGCTTATTATCCATAACGGACGTACGGAACCATAGGTTCACACTGCACAATCCTCAATGAAGGAGGGTCATCTTCCATCCTCCTCCGTGCATCTAAGAAATTCTGAAGAGAACCCCCGAGTTTCCAACACTTCAGGCTGAGCTGCCCACCGCTGACGGGCAACATGCAATCTGCCTCTCTTCGCCCAGAACCGCGACTGGGAGAAGGTACATCCACCCTATACACCTCCGCCACCACCTAAGTCGTCCGAGCAGCAGGGCGAGTCGCGGAAACACCATCGCATACCACCCACTGCGGGTTCCGACACAGACCAACCGGCTCAGCACTGGGGCACACATCCACTGGGGAAACGCCCACCATTGCACCCTCTACCACACCAGTCAGAGCAGTCCCTGCAGCGCACCCCTCCACGGAGCCGGCCGGCACGGGTCGGGAGGCGTCACAGCAGTACGGATGTCAACTCCACCAGTGAAGCAGCACTCGCAGAACTGATGTTTGGCATCATCCACCACTGCATCCGTCCCCCTCACAAAGGGCACCATCCAGAACCGAAAGATCCTCCTTGCTCTTTCAAAAAGAGGAAAATTAGCTTCAGTAAACACGTTTACCCGATCATACATCCAAATGGTGCAGGCAGCAGTCATATATCCAACATGGCCACACTTAAAACATGTCCGAGTTTGTCCACAGTTGAAGAAACCGACCGTAAAGCCATCAATCGTCAGAGAAGATGGCACGTTCCCACGAAGAACCATCTTAGCCGTCCTGTAGCCACGGTTGAGTCCCTTAACGTCGCCGGACGTGTGCCTACACACACACACACAAATAATTTCCACTCGCTCATACCTGGCAAGAGCCCGACGGAGAAGTCCTCAGATATCTCTACTGGTGAAGATTAAGCCACCCAAGAGGTGGCTTAATCCACCTCTTAATGAATGTCTGAATTAAGATGTCTTAATTCAGACATCTCAAACGGCGCGTTCTTAATAGACACTTACGTGTACTCCACAGTCAAATTCGTTACAGTTACTGCAGAGCGTCGACCGTTGTTCAGCAGCACCTCCCGATCCTCATATTGGTCGATAAACTTCTAGAACAAGTCACTCTCGGCGAACTTCACAATCACTCTGTGATCATGAACGACATGAAGACCAGCAAGATCCTCCACTTTCACGTTCATAACATCAAACAGGGCGTTGCTGACTACACCAATATCATTAGAAACAGAGCAATGCAAAAGATGTACAGTGACCACAACACAGCAGTTGCAACATCAGGATCTGCGGATTGGTACAAGAATTCAACCAACTACGAACCACTTAGTTTGATGAAAGGGAACAGTAGAACAACAGAAGTACACTTACATCGCATCAGGCTTGGATACCCATGTGCATGGGAAATAGGCTTACAGGTTCCGGAAGATGAGAGGAAATGTCAGCACTGTGGAGAAATGCCCGACAGACCACTGGAACATTATCTAACACAGTGCACAGTTACAAACCCATTAAGATATCAACTTAGATTCAATAGAGCAGAAGTTGTTAAACACATATGGCAAAATCTTACTGAAGCGACCATACGAGTCATAAATACTCATACTCCGCCCAAGTAAAACAGAAACAAGCAACACTTAGTGGGCCAGCCAGAGGCTTAGGGCCCGCGCAGGAATATCCCTGCAAAAAAAAAAACCAATATCCACCCGACAAGTGAATGTCAGTCCAGCCGACTCCTTCCTCCGCAGCGGTGGCACGTAAGTCTCCATACTGAGACTGAAAACAGTCACCCCGTCAGTGGCAAACTGCCACACTGCAGGGCAACCAGCAACCATCCAGTGTAAACACCAGCCACGAGCAGAGACCTCAGGAAGGTCCGACTCCACTCTTGTTGCCACCACACCTAACAACACTGCAAACAAGACATGGCGGCAGATCTTACTGAAACTTTCAAAATACTGAACAATTTGAAGGATGTTGATCTGGACAATTTCTTCAAAAGGTCAGCTGTAACACAAACAAGGAGCAACGGTTTCAAGCTCAACAAGCCACAATGTAGGACTGAGAACAGGAGATGCTTGGAACCGCCTACCCGCCGAAGTTGTAAATGTCAAAACTCTGTTGGGTTTTAAAATACAACTGGATAGGATCATCATGGTCAATGGGGGGATCTTTAACAAGCCACCGGCTTCCTGTCCTCGTCGAGGCCACTAGTATTATTGGCCCTCAGGTAAATTCAGGGAAAACCCATGGAACTGCCTACCCGCCGAAGCCGTATATGCCAAAACTCTCCTGAGCTTTAAAATCCACTTTGAAACAATCACCAAGACAAAAAAGGGGAACCTTTGACAAGCCATCAGCTTCTTGTCATCATCGATGCCACTAAAGTGCTAGTGGCCCTCAGGTAAATTCAGGTAAATTCAGCTTGTACGTCTGGCAGATCTGCAAATTGTACAATCACTACGTGTTTTTTCACAAATTACGTCATGATATAATGTATACAAAAGGCGCTGCTTTCCCAGGACATATATTATCGTAACATAGCTTCTTATAGTCTGTAATGAAATCTCACATCTTTCCATAGGCCTATAATCAAATAGCCTCCCTCGCCACGGGCCGATATCGTACGTCTCCTTAGGTGGGACTTAAATGTCAACCTTACATTTTTAACCAAATTCTTATACGCGTAATATTGAAAGTGTCGTGTGTGTGTGTGTGGCTGGGGTTAGAGGAGGCGTGGTTGTGAGGGTGGTGGAAACACTAGAGACAAGAGAGAGAGAGAGTGGGCGGCCATGGTTGGGTTCATAGTTGGCGGGCGTGAGGGTGGTGGCAGCGGCCGCCGGCAGATGTCACCCACCGCCGCCGCCGCCACCATGGCCTCCACGCTCCACCAGATATTAAACAAACTCCTCGTGCCCGACAATGCTGTTATCCAGGAGGTGAGTGGGGTAGTGGAGGCGAGGAGGGCGAGGCGGGGCGAGGTGGGCGAGGGGTGACAGGGTGTTGGTGCGGGTGTGGAGGGGCAGGAGAGGCGCGGCCCGCCGGGGGGGAGGCGGTCAGGGGGCCAAGTTTCACGTGGAGCGACGATGGGGTTTTCTTGCAGAGGGTCAGGGTGCCACGCCCCGGCCCCTACCGTGTGGTGACGGGTGTAACGGTGTGCAGGAGCACCGTCGCCTGGTGACGGGGGGTGGGGCGAGGGGTGACAGTGAGGGTGGTGGGCCGCCGGAGCCTCGACCCACCCTAACAATGAACACCGTCTGGTCTACTCTCTCACTCTCTCTCTCCCACACACTCTCTACACCTCCCACTCTCACACACATTTAGGCACAGTGCGCTAATTGTCACCATTACTAGGCCTAGAGTGTGGCCAGCTGGTCACACAAGACATTCCCTTAGGGGGTCACACCACTTTGTTCTTGTATGTCAAATTTACCATGTTCCTTGAACACATTAATAGCAGTAAAAAAAAATAATTGTATTGTTAACCTAATTTAAGTGTTTTGTCCCTAGTCAAGTTTTTGAATTAAGTTCTATTTATTATCTTTTAACAAAGATAATAAACGCACAACTAAATTTAACAAAATGTTTATTAATGTAACAATAATATTTAACGTATAGCGAGGATTATTGTTACTGCCATAAATTGACTGCTAATGGACAGTTGTTAGATTGACAGATTGATTGTTAGCGGACAGTAAGTCCTACGAACGTGGGGGGTGGGAATTAATCCCAATCCACGAATCTGAACGTTTAGTTTAGTTCATTTATTATGCACCCCATACCCATCTTGTGGGCGGTAGTGGAAAGGGTTACAGAGGCACAATGGGCTCAGGGACTGAACCCCACAATTCATTTAGCTAAGCAAGTTACGATCTTGATGAGCTAGTTACAACATTCAATATAAGTCGTCACATCAACAATGGGCTCGAGATCGACCACAAGTACAATTTCTAAATTAAGCAACTGACATATGTGGAGAGCTAGTGTCACAATTGATATGTTTGTCCTGCACACCGCCCCCATCCAGTGGGCAGCGGTGGATAGGTTACAATCACTCGGTTACTACCTACAGTTTGCAAACTAGGGATATTTGGCTAAAATTTTTGGTAGCAGATCATTTTGAATGAAATATTTACACATCGCTGGAACATTGGTTATAGAATTGTTTCAAAATTCACGTATCTTTTCGCCCTACATCACATAGTGACGGAGGGTGTGCGAATAATTTTGTTGACACAGTTTACATTTGGTCAGGTCTACACCGGCAGATAATGAGAATTCTCAGAGATACTTGTAACCGAGTCTAAGCCGAGCAATAGTAACATCTAGAAGTCTGAACGTAAAGTGTTTTACACCCTTTGAGTCCATAGTGGACCATTATACGGTCACGGGATGGAAAACACATTGCCTATTAGTGGCTTCGTGTTGGGGCTTCGTGTTGGTGGCTTCGTATTAGTGGCCTCATTAGTATGTGTAACTCTTGTCCCTATAAATGCACATCACTTGTATGTTCTTTGTACACACATTCTTGTGAATAAACATTGAATTGAATTGAAAAAGTTTTTGAGTCAATTTATAAGAGAAGAGCCTGAGATGATAGTATAGGATTAGGGCCGAGTATAGGAAAGTATTGAAGTACAGTATTGTATAGGAAAGTATTGAAGTACAGTATTGTATAGGAAAGTATTGAAGTACAGTATTGTATAGGAAAGTATTGAAGTACAGTATTGTATAGGAAAGTATTGAAGTACAGTATTGTATAGGAAAGTATTGAAGTACAGTATTGTATAGGAAAGTATTGAAGTACAGTATTGTATAGGAAAGTATTGAAGTACAGTATTGTATAGGAAAGTATTGAAGTACAGTATTGAAGTACAGTATTGTATAGGAAAGTATTGAAGTATGTGAATGTACAGGATGGGAATAAAGTAGAAATATAAGAATAAGGTAGAGGTAAATGGGGAAAAAATGTGGAAGTAAAGGGATACCAGTGAGGTTGAAAAATAGGAATGAAGAAAACTGGAGGATTGCAAATGGCAGAGAATGAAGCGAAAGAGAGATAGCAACATAAGAGAAAGGAGAGAGTGTAGAGGGGCTAAAGGTAAGAGAGATCACATATGTTAAGAAGGTGAGAGCATTTAAATATGTACTGAGAGAGGCACCTTGAGTCAACACCAAGTACTAGCCTAGTTGTGCTTGCGGGGGTTGAGCTTTGGCTCTTTGATCCCTAGACAAGTGCAGTCCCCGTGGCGTAGTGGTAAGACACTCGCCTGGCGTTTCGCGAGCGCTTTGTCCTGGGTTCGTATCCTGGCCCGGGAGAATTTACTGGGCATCAATCCCTAACTATAGTCTCTGTTTACCCAACAGTAAAATGAGTACATGGTTAAACGATTTGGTGGGGTCATACTCTGGGGAACATAGGATTAAGGACTTGCCCGAAATGCTGTGTGTGCTAGTGGCTGTACAAGAATGTAAAAACTCTAGTATATATTTAAAAAAAAAATTACATGTATAAAACCTTGTTCCTATATGCAACTCCTGATCTGAAATTCTTCCTTGACAGAAGTAATAGAACCCATAATCACCACACCAGAAATAAATCTCCTGAATATTCCCAGTCAAACTAAATCTGTGAAAACACTATGCAAATGTAGAGACCTAGTCTATGTAACTCATTCCCTAATGCATTAAAAATGTCGAACCTACACCGTATTCAGAAGTAAAACAAGAGTACCTAATTTCATCCTCGGTTTCCTACCTAGTGCTTCAAACCTTTCGCTTTGATGTCCATAGGGAATGGAAAGGATGGGGGAGGTAGGGGGATGGGGAGATGAAATTCAAATCCGTTTTCTTTCTTGTGCTACCCACTTTCCCAGTAAATGTGCCAAAGACATGCAACTTCACCATTGTAACACTGTTATCAACTTATATTTATGTTGAATGCAAATTTTGCTATAATGTGTATTAATAGTCCTCAAATTATGCTACAATGTACTTGATAATTCTCAAATTTTACTACAATGTACCTATCAATGTTCTTCAAATTTTGCTACAAGTACCTACTTAAAATTATCTATTAGATCAAGGACCTGCCCGAAACGCTATGTGAGTTAGTGGCTTTTCAAGAATGTAAAAATTAATATTACATACACATGTACATAGTGTACATTTGAGAGGGTCCCGGTAGTACAGTCGGGTTCGTTCTCGATGCACAATCGAGAATTCTGGGTTCGTATCCCTGATGGGACTGAAATGGTTGGGCACATTTTCTTTCACCTAATGCCTTTATTCACATAGCAGTGAGTAGGTACTCAGGACATAGTCAGCTTGTTGTGGAGTTGCATCCTGGACAGTCAGTAATTCGGCCTGGGTGGAGGGGGTGGGGCCTCGATAAAAGCCAAATCGTGTAGGAATATACTCTGGCTTCATGATTAACACTATGACACTATGAATAATTATAATTATACCATTCAAGATGATGGAAGTGATATACAGTATCAACTTGAATACAATATGGAAGAAAATGCAGAATAGAACCAGTATCGGGTTTCATAGTCACAATCAGAGAACACTGTATAAACATCAGAGGTCCACGGTTGTTCAACATCCTCCCAGCGAGCATAAGAAATATTGCCGGAACAACAGTGGACATCTTCAAGAGAAAACGTGATAGTTTTCTTCAATGAGTGCCGGACCAACCGGGTTGTGGTGGGTATATGGGCCTGCGGGCTGCTCCAAGCAACAGCCTGGTGGACCAGACTCACAAGTCGAGCCTGGCCTCGGGCTGGGCTTGGGGAGAAGAACAACTTTCAGAACCCCATCAAGCAAGTACCATTCAAGGGGATGGAGGTGATATACATACCATCAACGTGAATACCATTCAAGGTGATGAAGATCGTGAGGAAAAGGCTCGTAGAACATCTGGAGAGGAGCGGCTTTATTACACACTATTAGCACGAGTTCAGGGATGATAAATCGTGCCTCACAGGTTTAGTAGAATTCTATGATCAGGCGACAAAAATTAGACAAGAAAGAGAAGGGTGGGCTGACTGCATTTTCTTACTGTCAGAAAGCCTTTGACATTGTACCCTGTAAGAGGCTGTTAGAAAAGTTGGAGAAACAGGCAGGAATGCTTCAGTGGATAATGGAGTATCTAAGCAATAGGAAACAAGAGTAACTGTGAGGGGGGAGGGGGGAAGACATCTGAGTTGCGAGATGTCAATAGTGGAGTCCCACAGGGCTCTGTACTAGGACCCATCCTGTTTCTGATGTATACTGTATAAACAATCTTCCAGAAGGTATAGACTCGTTCCTCTTGCGTGCAACCCAATCCCCAATATATATACCCAAGCCTTACAATTTTACCATTAAACATTGCTGTCATGTTATGTGTACTCTGTGTGCTTTAATGTGCCTACTGATCTTTGTCATATTATCAATTAAGCTTATCAATGCTTTCAATCAAAGCTTTCAATGTGCTTTAATATACCTACTAATCTCTAAAATTTTCTTACAATGATAGTACCTGTTAACATTTAAAAAATTTTGCTAGAAATTACCTACTTGATATTATGTTAGATTAAGGACCTGCCCGAAACGCTGTTTTTACTAGTAGCGTTACAAGAATGTAAACACATCATGCTTTGCACTCTAATAAACCCAATGTAACTTCTTATATTTAAATATATAAATAAATAAATATTTGATGCAAAAATTATGAGAAGAATCAAGACAGATGAAGTTAGACTACAGGAAGACCTGGACAAACTGTAGGGAAGGTCTAGAAATTGGCTACTAAAGTTTAACTAAGGAAAGTGTAAAGTAATAAAATTGGGTGAAGGGAGCATGATGCCAAACATAAGGTACCATCTGGGAGGTGAAATCCTACAAGAGTCAAATAGAAAGATCTGGGGGTTGATATCACGCCGAACCTGTCCCT